GAAGATCCAAAGAAAAGGAATAAAGAAACACACTAATAAACACATATCCTCAGATGATGGTGCCTCTTCAAAATAACAGATAATGTGGCAGTTTTCTACTAAATGTAAGAACGAAGAAAAGCCTGAATGGCCATTTATTTTATGCTTGATGATTACAAAGTCTATAAAACTCACAAGCAAGCAATGCTAGAACTGAAAGATGAGAACATGACTTACCTCAGTTTCTATTAAATAAAACACAAACAACAAAAACCCCCACATCTGATGGGATTCCTCTGGGTTCTGAAGAAACTCTTTCCACTTACACTTTAATGTTAGACAGCAGTCAGAACAGTTCCTCCCCTCGGCTGCTATGTGCATCCAGCTACTTAACTTAAATCCCATTCCTCTCACTTCCCAGATTCTGGAATTGTTAAACAGCAAAAGCATCCCCAAAGGGAAGTGAATCACAATTTAAGAAAAAAAAATCAGGAGACTGAGGAGTTGAAAAATAAGAGCAGTTGAAATAAAGCAGCCTATAAACCAGCAAAAATGATGAATGTTCTTCAGAGATCCTGATGAGTTGTACTATTGCTGCCAAATGCTTTAGGAAGTTCAGACTCCGACTGCACTGGGAAAACCTGTTGGCTGTGGTTTGTTTTTTTAAATGCTACTATGAAGACTTTAAGGCCAGAGTTTTCCATTGCTATGAACAAACCTCAGCCTCATAACAAGCCATCACATGAACAAAAGTAATTGCTCCTACCAGAAAAGGAAAAGAAAGTATTTCTAAGCTATTGCTGCACAGTAATTTGAGCTCAACAGCCAAATATTCCAGTTCTTTTCCCAAGGATACCCTAACACCCTAAACTGCTACTGCTTTAAACAGTTGTGTTTTTTGCTGCAGAAACACAAAGATCCATTTTTTATCCATACAACTGAAGCCTTTGAGAAGTTTGAAGAAGAGATGATTTTGGCTGCATCTCACCTAGCACTGCCAGCTGTCTCATCCAAACTGAGAGCTCCACATCATGAACAAACCTAGAGTGACATACTTTAGTGTCAGTGCAGACAAAATGTTTTTGCAGTAGACTCCTCTTGCTTGCCTACCACCCAGAAAGAGATTATGAATGAGCAGTTCTGACATGCAGTAGTCTTTCTGAAAGCATTCAGACAAAAAGATCAAAAACAAACAAAAAAAACCCCTAATCCCATCTTATATGCTGGTTTACACTAAACCAACAAGAATTGCTTGTGAAGGTTCAAGTGACCTCTCTTCTGTGGATGTGCCTGCCTGTCATGCACAGTCACAGCACAAGACACGGGTGCACAACATGACCACCTAGTTCAGCTTTGGCTCTGTCTCACCAAGAAGGTGTGTAAGAATGGACCAGCAAGCAAACAGCAGAGTACTGGACAATGAGAGCAACCAAGGCTGGATGTGAAGATGAATGCTAATATATAAGGACTAGGCTTCAAAATCTGGAAGCTTAAATTCATAGTCATGGAGCTGACACATACAGGACGTCTAAGGTTAAGATGCAAGGAGGTAGTGAGACCTAGAAGACAAAAGTACACAAAGACAGCCAAGGTATTACAAAGGTTCATCAAAACAATCGACAGGAAAGCCTTTGGAATTATAATCTGTAACAAAAATCAAATGGAAGGCAAAGAATATCTCAGGGGCAAAGGGAGAAGAAAGATGTAGCAAAGAACAAGAACATGCATGTTCCCGTGAACACTGACAGGTTCTGCTCTCATTTCACCAGAGACAAGAATTAACTTGTGAACACACATTTGGGAAGCAAAGCTTATTCTCATCACTGTGAGCTGCTCTGATACCAGAGGGAAATACCCAGCTTTTACTGTACACACTGGGTACAGCTGCAGGGAATGGAAAGGCAACCATGAACTAGGAGGAGTTGTGTTATGCTAAGGAGCTGGACCCCAGGGGTCAGACTCTTTTGCAAGTATCTTCAACCAGATTCAGGGCTTTGTAATTTACTTGCTTGTCTTTTACTTCTCAGCATCTGCAAACAGCCTTTCCAATTCAAGAAGCCAAATCATTTATCAACAAAAACTTGACATCTAACCCCTTTACTCTCAAAGTAAATACCAGTATTTAGTATTACAGCAACAATTCTGCAAAGCCTGCAAGACAACTGTGGCAATGGATGCTCACTTTTTCTTTCTTGCAAGCTGTCCATGAACATTAATTTCTTCAGGTATTTTTTATCTTCTTGCAGGTTTCAATTATTTTCTTCCACGATAATTAAATGACAGACATAAACTAATTGTACTGAATTCTGTATAAGAGATCTGTAAGAAATCCTTTGAGGAATGTCACAGTCCCCTTTGTCAGCGAATACTTGTAAAACCCTTTATCCAGAACACAGTTAACCAAAAGTAATACACAGTCAGAAGTTACCTCAGTGCTGAGCATCCTTTCAGGACACTGCTTACAAGAAATACCATGTCACAGACACAGCAGCTGGGCAATATTTGTAAGAAGCCCAATTTCCAACACACTTCTTTTCAGACACTAGGTTTTACTTCATGAGCACCAAGTTTCAAAGATTAATCTAATGTTACCAGACATTTCTAGAAAATGGTCTGTTTTGATGTGATGCTCAACTTTGTCTCATAGTGTTCTCCAGAGATTTTTAAAGTACTTTCAGGGGGTTTTCTAAGTGATTTATAGTTATTTATACCACGTTACACCATTTTTTTCATGATTTATATCACATTTAGGACCAAGAAACCTGATTTCTCCTAGTCTATACTTTTAAGTCAAGACCAATAAAGTAAACTGAACAGGAATGTTAATAAAGCAAGACAATTTCTTGAAGAGTGTTTTTGGGGTTTTTTTACTAGCGAGAATACATTTTACTCAGATGTCTCCTTGTTTCTATTTACTGTACTCTTACCTCAAGAAAATAAGAGCTGATTCTGTTTCCTTTCCATTACAAGAGACATTTTCTGTCACTGGGTTCTAGATCAAAACTAATTCTATACATTTATACTTCTATTAAGCCATGTAAGGAAGCATCCAAATGCATGTTAGTAGATGAAGCATTAAACCAGACAGTTGAGGTCCGATCATTAGAACCAAAAGCAGGCTAGAAAAGTAGGCTTAAAAGTAGGCTAAAACAAACTATGGTCCTCCTTGAAGAAATCCCACATCAAGGAGCTCCCATCAGTTTCTGCTGGCTTACAGAAACCCTGTAACTTACAAACACGCCAGTGAAGACATTGAAAAAAACCACCCCAAAATACACCCAACACATTCTACCCAAAGTTTACAAACAAAAGCTCCTGAGAAGCAGTGTATTTTGAAATTTGTCAATACTTCATGGATTTTCCTACGTTCTTCATCAACTTCATGAGAAATTTTGCATGTAGATGAAAATGCCGAGATGTTTAGGATGTGCATCTAATGATCTAGGCCTACATCTATATATGTGTATCATTACATATACCCACACACAGCCATAAATACAGTAGTTTTTGATTTTCTTAAAGATAATGCCCCTTAACCCAAAGTTCCTCCTGACAAAAACACACGTCTTTTTGAACAAAACTACTAAATAACTCAAAAGAAATATACTGACCAACCTGACCAAAACAGACAATTGTGCTGAGTGACTCCTTCTGCTTGAGACAGCAACTCAAATTCCACATCTTCTCCAGTATTTTTGTCTTATCAATTAATACCATAAGTTGCTCAAACTAAAACTTGTGTAGTCAGCAACTAACTTTCCATGATCACTAATGTGTTTCTGAATTCATGTGAAAAATGAGATAGAAAAAGAGGAACATGAAAACAACAGGCACTATAACAATATCAATGCACAAAAACATGACATGAACATCACACACATGAAATTAAAACATAGGAAGAAGACACAATGCAAGAACTCAAAAGCTCCAAAGTAAAAGAAACAAATGGGGTAAACAAAGACATGACATGTACATTCTGGAGCAGAGGGGTCAAAGCAAACCAAAAGCTACTTAAGGTTATGATTTTTTTACATTGGGTTCTTATCAGACAGGAGGAGGTTGGAAAGCTTGGATAAAGCTGTTTGCCAGCACATGCTGAACATACAGTGTGGTCATATTTCTACCCTAGCACTATATATTTAAAAGAGTAATTTTAGAAGGATAGCAGAGGTGATTTGTCTTCACTGCAGTCTTAAATCAGGTAACTCAATGTAGGGTAAAAACAAAGAAATAAAAAAATCAAACCCATTTTTAGCCTTTTAATAAAATCTCTTGGGTTTTCTAGCTAAAGCAGAAATTCTACTTGCTAGTGACTGACAAAAGCCTTGTTTTAGATTCAAAGGTAATTCCTTATCGTTACATAATATCAAATATATTGTCCCTCCCCATCTTAAGTGTACTATTAGTGTTCCATGGAGAATATAAGTTTTATATAATGGAAGCAAATGTGAACCATGCAACAACATATGGCAATGAAGATGTCTTTTGTCAAAGTGATTTTCACCTGATAATTTTTTAAGAAGTCAAATTATTAACATAAATTATCATAATAAGAAGAAGAAATCTTAAACAATATTAACTTTTGCTTTTGCATCTATGCACTGAAACTCAGAATATACTGTTGCTTTTCTGCAACAAATATGAGACGTCAACAATGAAAATCTGATCAGGAAAAAACCCTAAGATATACCTATGACTTTAAAGTCAGGATATAAGAAAATATTTTAAGTATGACTAGATACACAGCTTGGACTGACTGTAACTTAAATAGCACAAAGGGTGATTATTTAAAGAGAGTATTTCCAAAATTTAATTACTTAATTTAAAAGAAATGTTTGTAACAAACATTTAAACAAAAGCGCTGCAAAAGAATGCGAGGGATGCTCTGCAGGAAGGATTCTACTCCCACACGCAGCACAGAACCTCTTAAAGAAGGCCACCTTGCATGGCAGCAAAAGTATTAGAAGTGGGGAATGAACTGCAGGCAGTGGTAACCGGGAAGGAAGGCACACAGTACTCACAGAACTCCTTCTCCACGAGGTTTGTGTGAATTTATCAGCGTATGCGCGCGATGCCCCTGCAGGTTTTTGACTCTCCTTCTGGCAGTTACATCTAGTGGCCTTCATTACCCCCAAAAAGAGAAAAAGAAAAAGAATTATAGATTAACCAACTAAGCCTCTCGAAAAGTACAGCCAAGGCCCAGTGTTCAAACATCCTGCATTATACTACTTTAGACGACAATATGATTAAACTGTGGAAATACTATTTATAGCACTGCACAACTGCTGCTTTTCCTGAAGTGTATTTACAAGTAATCCAGAATAAAGGTTGACTTCTGGAAAGAGTGATCTGGGATTCTCTTCTTTTAACAGCAGAGCAGAAAGCCCAATCTTTCCTGTTTCAGAGGGAATGATTGAAACTAGACAGGGAAAGGATGAAGACCAGGTCAGCTCCAGTGCACATGGGTACAAAAGCACACTCTAGACATTTCTTTAGAGTTTATCACCACACAACGCTGTCTCCAACTATGATAAACAAATATGGTGTGAACCTCTTGGCATCTCATCTACCCTACCTGTAAGATCTTGCTGTGGTTTTAAATGGCTTGAACATGTGGGGTTATTTTACAAGAATTATCACAGCAGGTGAATTTACCAGAATTAAATGCAGAGATACACATGGTAAAATCCAAACTCAGAACAAAACCAAAAAGGTACATGTGACTTTTGCTTGAGGCCTTGTGTCTTCCTGAACCTAATTTATTATGAAAGTGTCCCCATAACTTGTCCTTATTTGGCCAATTTAATCTGACTATTCAACATGCCTTTTATTGTTGGTTTGTTTTTTGTTTTTTTTTTTTTTTAAAAAGAATCAACTTTGAATACTAACTTGCTCAGTTTTAAATTCTATGGTGCCATTTTTTATTAAACCAACATAGAGTAGAGGAACGGAGAAGGATTAAAAAAAAACAACAAAAGCTTCAAGAATGATAAGCCCAATATTTGTTAATTTTTAAAATACTTTAAACATGGTCTTACCTTTGCCCATTGTTAGTTTTCTAGAGCAGTTAGCATTCTAGAGCAGTTTCTAGAATTTATTGTTCAAACAGTTTTGGAAATGAAATACTTTCAACAGTGGTAAAAACATCCCAGCCTAGTGCCACAAATACAAATCATGACTAGTCTACAGAATTAAAGATTTCAGGAGCACAACTGCAAACACACTGGGACATGTAGAATCAGCCTGCTGGAACTGAATCTCTACAGACCCAGGAGCCAGGTGGGTCCAAACAGAACCCAAACCTTCCTTTGTTATAATGAAAGTGTAGGAAAAAAGTTAGCTGTGTAGCTGCCTTAAAGCCTTCACCAGAATTGCCTGCTAAAGTTCCACTCTGCAGGGCACACTTGGGATTTTGCTAAACTTTCAGCATTATACTCACAAGCTGATGCTCTAATTGGTTGATTGTTTCATCCTTTTTCTTCAGTTCATCTTTGAGCTGCCTGATCTCATTCAGCAGATCATCCATCTGCAATAGAACAATGGGCACTATCAGGTTTTCTGTAAGGACTACACAGTCTAACTCCACACCCCTACAGGACATCAGGTGTGCATGGAGAACTGGCAGTAACAGCACATTACATTTCCACCTCCCATTCCCATGGAGAGATGGGCTGTAGGCACACAGACTACAGAGTGAAGAGGCTTGACTGGAAGTCTCTTTAAGAGGCCATTATAATTATGTAAAGTTCAGAGCCAAAACAAAAAAAGATAAATACTCAAAAGTGAATTTTTTAAAAACTCATTTTAACAAAACTGAAAAAAGGAAGTGTATAAATATTCCTTAGGTTTGCATTTAAACAGAAGAAAGAATCAACAAGCAGTACGTCAGAGTGACATACACTTTTGGTGTGTTTTTTAAATACAAACAGGTTTGTATCTCTATTTCTGTAGAGTCAATCAGTGTCATTTACCTTAAATGTTGACTCAGGCTCTTGTGGTTCCGGACTCGATGGAACTGAGAGGTTGATGTCCTGGAGCGACACATTTTCATCACTCTACCAGAGAGCAAAACAAGAACACAAGCTTGAATTACTTGCTGAAACAGCTCCATTGCAAACTTGCTCTCAAGGATGGAGATACATTAGGTCTCTGCAAAACCTGTTACAGTGCCTGACTTCTCTTACCCCTAATTTCCCCTTTTTTTCCCTGATAGGAAAACTTTCCTTGTGAATGTGCACAGCACCTGAATAAGGAAAAAAAAAAAATCACAAAACAAGACAAACCATTTCAAGCAAAAGTACCTTGCATGGCTTTTAAAAGCTCTGTACCTCTGGTATACTTTTTATTGTCATTAAAAAGCAAGTAAGTGGAGTAATAAAACATTCCACAACAGTAGACTAAGGACTAATTACAAAGAAGGTTAGTATGTCACAGTCTCTGGTGATTTAAATCAGCCCTATGCTATACCTGACTCAGTCACTGGCAAAGCAGGAACTAAGTTCATTTGCATCAATTCCCTTACTGCTGCCTTAATTATGTCAATACACATGTAAAGAACACAGGGCAACTGAATAAAAACCAGTTCTAATTGTCAGTGGAAACTCAAGCCTCCCATGTGAACACATGCTAGGATTAATCTATGAAACTTGGCTTGAGGTACATGGCCTGAAGTATGTAAACTGATGGAGGATTAACACTGCAGACTTCCACACTTAATGAGCTATGTAGGGATAGTCTTCAGTTACATATTATTTTAACTTGATATAAATTTATTTATCTATTTTTATATATGTATATGTAAATATATTTTTTCACATACAATGTTTAATCCAAGAATATAACATGCTCATTTAAGAAACAGTCAAGTAATTGGGTAGTGACTCATCATTTCACAGTCCTTTTCTGTTGCTTGTTACAGAAAGCTGTTTCAACCACTACCTTCTAGAGTGATTTTCAACTCAATCACATGCTCTGGAAAGTTTTTGCAGGACTTAAGTCAACAGCACACACTTCAGCTTTTGGCCAGTTTTGGGGGGTCCCGATGTAAACTGAGGTAACCACACACCTTAAGACATGTTTTCAAGAGGCTTATAAAATTACAGCAAAGCTGAAGTCAGAAACCATTAGAAAATACACAGGCAAGACTTGGAAAACCATCCTAAATTTACTAATACCTGCACAAAAGGAGCAGGTGGTTGTGGTGCAAAAAATCCACACACACATTCTCATCACTTTTGGAATACTCCAGGATGAGAAGCCTGCTCTGAGAAAACCTTTATGTTAACTTCGGAAGACGAGTATGAAGTGATGTAATTGCCCTCCCCAGCAACACTTTAGCATTTATCTGCATAGTGCCTACACGACAAATCCAGAGGAATGTCTAAAGTTTTTCAGTCATGGCTATCAGAGTAACCTGGTTTCATGCTGAATATTACTTCATATTCCTTTGCAAAAGTCATCTGCTGAGAAAATTAATACCATCTCAGTTTTCTACAAAGCAACTGATCTTGTTTTAAGACAAACTCAGTGAGAGATTAAGATACAATTTAAGTGTAGGGGTAGGCAAATTATGTAACAATTACTTCTTCCCCACTGTCAGGCACTTTATTTCTCTGGACAAATAACCTGCTACATGTCAAACATTTTTACTAACCTGCTCCCAAACGTTACAGTCTAACTGAAGCTCTTGATTAAAGTCTCAAGTCTTCGTCTGTCATTTTTAATCCATCTCAAGAAACATGAGCTCATGGGAATAACACTTCATGACGGCTGTCACAGGCACACTGCAACTCATCCAAGGACAGTCCCAAACTGAACCTGTACCTGTGAGTGGCTGTACCTACCATGCTCTCATGCCAATATTTTACAAAAGTGTGAAATCTTTAGTATGAATGACAACCAAACCCCTGTGCTTGCTTCACCTTACAAATTCCCAAAGAACTCATTTATCGCTTTTTGTAAACTGAATAGTAAATGTTGATTTTTACTTAATGACAGATTATTATTTATGAATATGTATATTATCAGGTACAAGTATATAGTAAAGAATAGACTAAAAAATCCTCACTACCTTTCCAACCTACTGTGCTGATTACTCCCACCAGCAGTTTACCTACCATGGATTGTGGGGCTTTGAGCACTGCAGTTTTTCTGCTGATAAGCAGTTCAGCAGCTCAAAAATGTCACATTTGCTTGTATTTTCTTCTATCCTCTCAATAGTTAAATGTTCTCATTTTATGTTGTTTATTTCAAAAATCAAAAATTAACACCAAAAATCAAGCTCTGTGATGCAATACAGCATAACAGTCCTGGGAACATATCTGAACATCATAAACATGCACCTCTATACAGCACACAGCTGTTCTCACTGCCTGTCCTTTCCAGCTTCCCTTTTTTCCTTGCTTTCTTTGGGTGGTATTACTTGCAGGCTTTAGTTAAAAGCACATGTAAAATAAAGAAAAACTACAGAACTTCTAAAAGAATAAAAGAAACAAGATAAATGGTATTCTCTCTCAGAAGAAACCTCCTATATTGCTTGAGAGGAAGATACAAAGCTTAAAGCTGAAAGACAAAAGGTGTTCTCATTACACTAACATATTTCAAGTTCTTCTGTTACAAAAATCAACCCATTTGCACTTTCAGCAATTATCTTGTGGTTCCCTAACACCATATGTTGCCTTTTAATACACTAAGATTATACTAATAGTTTCATCTTGAGAATTATTTACATAATTTTACATTACAGCACCTATAGTTTAATAAGAAGTTGAAAAATGTTAAACAAATGCTTCTGAAGTTTACTGAGGTTTACTAAATTTTTACCAAGGTCTAGCTTTCAATTCTCAGTTCAAAGTTTCCTTCAGTATGAATTACTCATTTGAACAGCGAAGATGTTAGGTTAAGTGTCCATCAGGCAGAGGGTGCTGTTCACCTGCTGACTACTTGGCACTTCAAGCGTAGTTCCATTCAGGTATCACTACAAACCACTGTCATGTAGTTTCCATTGCCCACTGTCAAATGCTGTTATTGTGGCAGTGCAACAGTGAACCAACTGCTGAAACCTGCAGTTTTTCAGTTTGATTTTGCTATTGTTTGTTGATTTGTTTTTTGTTCTGTTTCTTTCAAGCACAGTTAAATCACTGAGGAGAACTCTTCTGTGGCTAAGAAAAGAAAATAATTGTAGGGGTAATTTATACAACTTAATACCTGACACCGAGAAGATTTTGCATTTCATAAGTCTACTTCTTCCTTATCATCAGGCTTCTTATAAACAAAGATAAATCTCTCTTACAGATCTCATCAGATGCAAAAAGAAAAGAACACAGTGAATATGTATTTAAAAGGTACACAAGTGACTCACTGATCTAAATGTACTGATGCATTTCACAGTTTTCCACTCCATGGTTCACCTTTTCATTCACACCTCTTCATACAAATGTGCTGCTCATATCTGATAAGTTACAGTGAAGATATGTGCTTAAAAAATATTCCATTCATGAAAGGTAAGTTGAAAAGAAACATTTTTTATAAATCTTGCTTCTCACATTAAAAAGGGCTTCACAGACCTCACAGTTCATTGAACCACTTCATGTTTCTGTCCTCCCTAAAACAGCAGTCAGGGCTGATCTGAGATAACACAGGGTGGTTGCAAGGCACTGGTACCAGTCTTGAAGGAAGTTATTACAGAGGATGGTCAGTCCTAACCTAGATCAAAGGCTCCAGGGCATTAGAAAAAGAACATCCTTACTTATAATTGTATTTACACATTAGCTCTGTAGCCTCAACCCAGAGCAGCAAGTTTATGAAATTAATTGAGGAGGAGGAGGAAGAACCTTTTAAGATCAGAAGAAAACTTATTTACTATTAAGCATGCAGATGAAGTACCTTAGTCCATGTTTAGGAGGCATTAACATTTATATGTCAATTATTACCATAATTAGACTTCAAAAGCATTTACTTCCTTACAATACAAAGGTAGCACTCCAGTTAAGTATTAAAGAGAGAACATTCACCTGCAGTACATCTCCCTGTAAATCATTACAACTGCACTTAGCGCAAGAAGGATCTACATTTTTCACTCCATTTAAGCAGCACAGCATTACTGCAAAGTCAGAGAAGGTTTGACTCACTACTGTGAAATTTTTTAAGAACTCTGCAGGAGAGAGAGTCCTGTTCCTGATTCCACTGTTTGAAGATACAGGGATTTGGCAGTACGTGAGGAGTAAGCAGACAGCACGTGTACTGCTGGCATTGTTATCCTGGCCACATGGAGTTCAGGAAAGGTTGTATTACTCACATAACTATTTGTTTTTCCAAGCAGAACTGGGAATGCAACACCAAGCCCATGCTGCTGGTAATACTCAAGGTAATTTATATACAGTTATGTGAGCTACAGTCACAGCAATGAATCCAGTACAGCACATTAAGTCTCCCTAGGACTCTGCTAGGTACACATTCATTACATGGTGTGCTCTACACTAAGTCACACTACAGATGATTAGATAATTGTATAAAACTAGATTTAATTACTAACTCTTCCTATTTCACTATAACTGTTCCTGTGAGACCTCATGCCTAAGTCCTGACTACAGCTCTATTTCTACCTATTCAAATTAAATATTATTGCTGAATGTCATAACTGGAGAAAGGCAAGACATACACTTAAGGGTATAATGTTGGTGAAGCTAATAGAAGAACTTCTGCTTCCTTATTAGAGCTGGAGTTTGAAAGCTGCCACCTTTGTACCTTGTTTTTTTATATTTTGCAGGAAGAGATCTGTCATACCACCCAGGCTGAGATAAAGTCATAGTTCAGAATGCTAAAGTTCAACTCATTATTTTCAAAACTGTATTTCTGTTCTTTACAGGAAGCTGATAAAAAGTTGCAATATTTTTACTCATTCCTATTAGTATGGAGCTCGATGTTTACAGTAAAAATTTAACACTTTATGTAATGAAAAGGTATTTCACACAAGTTTTGCCCTAATTGTTTAGTAAATAAAGGTAGTAAAGGTCTGAAGTTTTCCACTCTGCAGCAGGCTAATTTACTTTTACATTACTATTAATATTGTTTGATTAAAAGACTGGATAATACATAGGGGAGTAGAATAAACATTCAGAAGTCCAGTGATGAGTTTTTGAAGCAGTGAGTCAAAACAGGGTTAGGTCAGGTCAGAAAAATAGAAGTATGCATGACAAAGTTTGAAGGGAAGAGTGATACCTGTTATTACTAAACTCACTGCTACGGGGAGAGAGTGGGAGAAGATCAAGCTTTTGCCATGAGAAGGAGCAAACTTTGAAAAATGTACTTATTAGGAGTAACTGCTTCATTTTGTGCATTTAAGTTCTTTCAAAAAAACTTTATCTGAGTTTTTGAAGGTGAGGTTTTGTTCTACAACCTTTTTTGAAAGTCCGGCTATTATAAACTAGATCAAGATTTTAAATATGATATTCTGCAGGGCCACACACTATTTGGCTATAATGTGGATGCCTTTACACAATGAACTACACATACAACATGTTGCCTAATTGTCCTTGTGTTACCGGCATTAAAAGCTCTGGATAAAGAGTTCTCTGCTATCTCTGTATTAACTGCATGCTTGGGGCTGTTGGGGACACAGTTTATGCAGTCCACCACTTGGACACTGGGTTCTAAGAACACACCTTCCCTCTGACAATACGTTATTTTTGTTACAATTGTTTTTCCACCGACAGAACCAGAAATACATAGAAATACATCTCAGTTACCAGAGGATGCAAATGCTCACATTTCTAAAAGGCACAGTCACACCCTTGAATTAGCCTCAAGGTTGATTTGTTTTTTGTTTTGCTATGTTTTGTTTTAGTGTCTTACTTTTAAGGTACAAACTTCTTTTCATTGCATTATCCTATTAGAAACGAAGAGCAATAAATCTACTATTAAAAGAGAACATCATACAAATACTTCCCAATGCTAATCCGTATATGCCTCCAAAGAAAGTCTCATGGACTGTTCATTATTTTTATGGTAACAAAGGAATTTTTGTAGCTCAAATGTCATAGTTCTGCTGAGTCATTTAGCAGTTTACTCCCACTACTTGCTACGGTTTGAGGTAAAATGAAAAAGCTCCTTAAAAGCTTTTATGACAATTCATAAAATAGGAAGGTTAAATTTGAACACTTCCAATAGAGATGACCCAGTAGGATTTGCTAAGCTTCTTGTCAAAACACACAGACAGGGTGAAAAGAATGAGGAAAACAAAGCCTTAAGAAAAAGCCCTTAGCACTGACTTGTAAAATTCAAGTTTGATCGGTGGGATCAATTTTAATATTTTTTAATTTTTTTGTAACTCCCAGCTTTTTCAGATCTTAGTGAATAAAAGCTGGTCTTGACATCTATTGATACTCTTTTTTAACTTGACATTTCCTCTGAGAAGTAAGGTAACAGTATTTAATACTGTTTGCAGTCAGTATAGCACTCAGAAAGCAGAAAATGTACTATCTGAAATGGCAACAAAAAGGCACACTTTCTTGAACACTGTAATTCAATGTATAAATCAAATGTCAGTGGCCTAATAAGGCAAAAAAAAAAAACAACCCACAAACATAAGCCCACCTAGGCTCACTCTGCAATATACTTTACTGCTTTTCTTCCATTTAAGCAGCTCACCTGGTGCAGTAACCTCTTCAGCTTCAGCAGCTGAGTTTTGACAGCTGTGCAGTCCTGGACCATGTGCCGCAGGGTCATTTCATCCAGCATCACAGTACTCTCCGGCAAACCCACCAGCTGTCGGGGAGCCTGGTACAGGTTGGGTGCTCCGTAGCTTTCCAAGTGACCAACAGGAGATTCCCGGTAGTTCGATCCCCTAAGAAAGAAATTCAAAACATAAAAACACAGCAGTGGCAAAGCAGAGTTAGTAAGCACTTAGTAAAAAAGGAAGGCCTTATGTAACATGGGCTATATTTACATACTGTGGCAGAAAATAAATACATCAGAAAATGTCAATGCCATTTCACTTAAATGCAGAGCTTTCCTTTCCACTTGTGGAGACCTCTCACAGACTTAACACCACAGTACCCTCAAACCAGTTCCGTCATCAGGATTTCTACAAACTGCCATTCAATCCTATAAGGACTATTGGATTACATTTAATTTACCAACAAATTAAAGAGTAACAAACTGTCTGAACTTAATAATATGCAAGTAGTAAGACACTGGAACACATAAGGTATTTTTATGAAGCATTTCTAGTATCACATCAACACAAGTAACAAGTATTTGGAATAAAAACAGAAGACTAAGCTTTGTGAAGCAATTGTTACAGGCCTCAGTGATGCTCCCACTCAGACATACAACTATTCTGAAAATGTCCTGGTACTCAGTGTCACTTGAGACCCTTTAACGCCAAAAGGAATTTCTCATTAGTGTTGTATTGTTTGGGAGAATAAAGACAAGTCCTTTACCTGTTCAAATCATTTTTACCATGGATGTAATGATCAGTATGGCCAAGATGATAATGATCCTGTGCATTCCATCGCTGTTGTGGTGCTCTTTTCCAGAATCCTTCCTGATGCTGTCTAGCATTTCTGTCTTGCCTATCATAACGGCTCATATTTTCACATTCCTCTATAGAAAGCACAGAGTTAAAAAAAAAATTATAAAATTTGTTCCCTTGTAAATAAAATATTTACTATGTGCTGGTAACAAATGCAGTGTAAAATCTGGTTGGTTTGTTTGTTTAACTGATACAAAACTGTGTATTTTAGAAGTGTCAAGCAGACTTATATAATGATGTCACATTTTTACTAACATACAAACTAGCTACAAGATTAAGAGGAACCTGTAGCAGAAACTACAGAATCCAGCCTTAACAGTATTTCCAGTTCAAGCAGAAAATCATGAGGAGGAGGTAGAGCTACAGGGAAGAAAAGAAATCAAAAAGTAACTGTTTCCTGTCTTTCTTAAGGGCCCTATCTTCAAGTCTTTAAATAGTTGTAACAACCACAAACACAGCAGGACAACACTGTAAAAAGAGAAGAGTACTGCACTCCAAAAGAGACCAGCTTCATTACTTAGAATACAGATACAGCTCACCCTATTCATCTTGTTTGTTTTTCAGTTTCAGAGACAACCTTTATTCCCCTGGACAACCAGCATGATTTAAAACAAGGAAACCAAATAATCTCTTCAAAACACTAACTTTCACAAAGCAACACAGATTACACAAACTTCTTAAGGCAACAATTGCTAAATTTGGCAGCAGCCTGCAAAAAACTAGACAGAAAGCCAAAACAACGGCTACCGGGCAGTCAGACACAGCAAAAACAGTCAGGAACTGCTATTTTGCCACCAGACTTTCTCCTTCACTTACCCAAGGAGTTTTTCCTCACATTGGCAGTCCTTTGCTAGGAGAAACTCCACACAAGAGAACATTGTTTACTCGGCTGCCTACTCAGACAAGTTGCGCACAAGACGCTCATAAACAGGCCTTCCTTCCTGCTCCGCTCCCAGCCTGCGTGTGGTTGGGAAGGGAGCCCAGCCTTACCCTGTGATTTAAAACTGCCGTCCTCGCTCCCTGAATACTTGTTGAGCTAGAACTGTTTCTATAAATAGTGGCCAAGCGGCATCCCAGACTCCAAAGTGAAACTGGGAGAGTTTCTGAGGACCTGGAAAGTCTTAACAGGCTGACGTCAGTGAGGTCGCACAGAATTATGGAAAAAGGGTTGGCAAAAAGTGCCCTGTTACACAGCATTGTAACAAATACTCACAGCTGCAATTCAGTTTTTATCACACAGCTCAATAACCAAAAAATTACATCAGAAAATAAACTCATTCACCTTAAGTAACAGAAGGTTTATTTTCCTTTAGCAAGGTGCTTCTAACAGCTCACAACACACGAAAATTAAAAGCCCTCGTTAAGTTTATAAGTAAGCTTTGGAAAATTAAATTGAGATACTGAGTAAAGACATGTGGATATTAACTAAGTTTTGCTTTTGGAGTGATCAGGTTCACATCAGGGAAAGCCTGGAGGTGGCTTTTGAATTCTTCTTTTCAGACTCTCTTTGCTAAAAATACAGTGATTTCAAGAGAAGAAGAAGAGATACTCAGTTTATGCCACATTATTTTATTAAGAAACCCAACCTCTAAAAAAAGCCAAAATTAACAGTAATTACCTTTTAATGTGTTTGTGGTAAACATTCACCTTTAAAACACATGCTTTTCTGGGAGTTTTAAAATAATTTGTAATGGAATTACTGATGCAATTGCAGTGCATGTTTTAAAAACAAGGAAAATTATGAGAAATTGATCTACCCTTTAAAATCGTTTCTTAGTTTTTCCCTACAGAACTAGAATTACTCTTATTGAAAGAATATGCCCTAGGTTGGGATTGTTACACATTCTGGAAAATTAATTATGTAAAGAGTAAAAATTTCACACCTGTCAGGGCTGAAAAGTTGCATACTGCCAATGGGGTCAATAATTGCTTTTCACACAAGTCCTTTGGAAGACTCATTCTAAGATTAAACACTGCATCTCATACATGCACACAGTTAAAACATGATGTGCCACCATCGTGGTAGAAGTAAAACTATGTAAGTATTTACTGTTATTTTGGCTTCATATCTAATATACATAGAGGACTCGTCACTCAAAGAACTCAGAGGTGCTCTCAAAACAACCCAAATTTGAAAAATCACACCTTAAATCTTAAAGCTTCTGTTACCCTGAATTTTTATACAGTATATAGGAGATATTGTCATTTTGTAGAAGAAAACTAAGACTTATCTCAAAGAATGACACTGTCATTCACCACAGCTGAAAAAAAAAATAACGGTGTCCCAACATTTTCAAATATATCTGAAGATGAGACTGAAAGACTAACTTAAAACTTTGAATTTGATTCTACTGAAATAATTTTAAGAAAAAAACCAGTATGAACCAAGGTTGCACCTTTATTTAAAAGGCACAAATTTCTAACCTTAGAGTTCTTCAAATATGAGTTGTGTTTGGGGAAACGGAAGTATCACCCTTCCTGTATTTCAAATAAGAAACAGTTATTACTTTAAAAAACCCCAACACAATGTGAAGAGTGCATTGACTTATTAAATCAAGAGTCAGAGCAAAGCAACTCAAAAACCTCTTAAGCCCACGAAGCAGTTCCACAGTACGACTGCTTGGCTGATTTACCAACCTTTGTCACGAGGTGGGTCCTCAGGCAGGTCCACATCAAGCATAAGATCATCATCTTCAAGATCACATGAATCAAGATTATTCAAGATATCCTGCAGAAAGAAAAAGTGAGATACAATTGTGCTACGGTATCTCATTTACCCTCCTGTCACAAAAAGATTATTTCGGTGTTTTGTTACATTTGTACTGTACAAACGATGTTACCAGCAACCTCCTCTTTAGAGACAAAGACATCTTACTTGAGAGACAACCAATACAAACAACAACCATCACACCTCCAGTGATATGACACAATAACAGTTCTAGACAAAACAAAGACAGATTAAAACTTTTTTCTGCCTGACACCAATGGAATACTCCAGATATTTTTCTATTCATTAATATCCTGCCTTCTCCCCAGTTGGAAGCATTTTAAAACTAAATTACTTTGCTCACTTAGAATTCTAAAACAGCTTTGTGAAAAGATGATGTTGAATCCCCTTATTTCAGCCCTTATACTATCAAAACATCACTGAAAGGAAGTGGGGGGGACCTATGTTATCTTGACTTTTTGGGCCAATAAAACTTCAAATACACTATTATCAGCATTAAGTTTTGCTTCCTTTTGTCTTTAACACTGTGGCTCATATAAAGCTGTTCCTATAAGGACTAACAGTCAGGTTGCATGGGTGTGCTAACAGCACCAAAAAAAAAAAACAACGCAATAAAAGAGTTAATATTAAATGGAATTACACTTATTCAGTATAGTCAGTCAGGTATATTAAAGAGCAAGGACTGTAGTGTGGCCAAGTCCAGTCCATGTTAAAAAGACAGATTAACCTCTCTTCCTTTAAGAACACCAAGAGGAAAAACTCAAGATCAAGGCTGTAGAACCCCAGCTCATGGCACAGTCAGACACTGCCAGCACCACACTGATGAAAAACCACAGCAGCAAATAAAGCACAGCACCTGACCAAAGAACCCACACACTGTTTTACTTCATTATTCAAAGAAACCTAAACTTACTAATACCAAGTGATTATAACACGAAGTAGGTCTGAGGAAATTGCTAATGGATATAGAGCTCTAACTCTTCATCTCACAGGTAAAGCCATGGCTTTAAGGCCCAAGGTCAGACTGGGGTACTTTACATCTGCCTTTTTTCTAATGGTATCAATTAAGATTTTTCTTCGGTTTATCTGCTACCCCTAAAGGTGATTCACAGGACCAATACTGAAAAATTTACCAATTATTAAGTCAAACAAATGTTTTATAATTATTTATCCAAACATGATCATTAAATACTTAACAGAATACAGGCTATGAGCACACTACAAAACAATATTCCCTTGGAAAGCTATCCCTTTGCTGGCTATCATTTATTGCTTTGTCACAGATGTATGGAAGATGTAAAGGAAGAACATTAACAGACATTTGTCTGAACTGTTGTCTCATTTGTTTTTCAGCAGCCTTCCTACAGCACTCACAAAGGACTACTGCATTTTATTAGAAATGGTGACAAGAGCTAAGTATATTTTAAGATTTTGGGAGGTTTTGTGACATAGAACATTAAACACTTTGCGTTTCTGCAGGGCAAGTAATTTATTGGCTCAGGAGGGAGAGCATGAGATTAAAATAGTTAATATGCACTTTGCAAAACATGAGCAATATAAAGGAAAGATGGAACACTTGAGACAGAACCACCTGTTTTTGTAATATTTCAAAGTCCTACAGGAATTGTTTTGTTTACACATAGTATTCTGTGTATCTACCGGAAAAATAGGAAAACCTACATATCAAGGAATTGTGAATCATAATAAATGCAACTATGGACAAGCTTCACAAAGATATGGAATCCATTTAACAGAAACATGGATTTAATATTTGAGAGAACAAACTGCCTGTAGGAATTTACTTCCTTTTGTTTCCACTGACTTATGTTTTTCCAAAAACTAACAGATTTTTAACTAACCCATATTTTTTAAACAATTCTGTGTGTTTGAGAGGCAGCTTTGGTTTGTTAGTTGATAAATTGTTTCTATGCCATGCTTTGATCTTCAAAATTAGTATGAACAAGCATTATTTTCTTCTACTGCGGGAACCTTAATGAGCATGACAAATAAAGTGGAAACCATGGCCACAAACACGTAAGAAAGCAGAAAACCTTTGCCATTGCATTTAAAAATGCACAATATAAAAACACGGTATGTCAGAGTGTTAACCAATAAACCTGGATAAGCCACTTGACTGTCTTTGTATCAGAACTTTGGAACTCGGATGGTGTCAGAGAAGGACAGCACTTGAGATTCCAAGCATACTTTTCTGTCAACAGCACATTTCATTATGCTTCTGTAATTATACATTCCTCACCACACCGAGGAAGCTCCGGGAAAGGAAACTCCATGCTGGAAAACACAACTGCGAATACCAAGTCTTTGTAATCACTGGACAGTGTGTGAAAGCACTTTGAGCATTTCCCAGCGCTGGTGACTTGGGAAACATAATATCCAAGTAGATGTCATCTTCAAATAGCCATAAGATAAAGAGCAGGTTTCATCAGCACATCAGTACATAAGCCCCCCTCTACTTAGAGACTTCCACTGTTATTCTTTGCACTGCATAAGGAACTGCTGTTAACTACTTGGCACTAGCACAGTTAATAATATGTGCTTAACAGCAATTAGCATCATCAAGTGATTCTGGGCGACAAGCTCAAACAGGACATAAAATTCTTTAAAAGTGCATCAACTCCAACCCTACAGAATAATACATGTTTCAGCAATTATTACAAGATACATAAAAAGAAGAATCCCTATTTTTTTCCTGTAGTTGAGAAGAATGATGCATATTAAAAAGGGTGTGTTTTTCACAAGGCTGATTTAGCATTAGATTTTCAAGACGGTACAACCTAGTCAGAGATTAAGTTTGGGACTGCAAAATCCCAAATCAAACTACAATGCTGTCCCTCAACCTCCTTCTCCACAAAGCTCTTCCACTGTCCACAGGCAGTAATGTTTTGCTTGCTTCATGTAATAGAACAGGGAAAGCTTTAGGTGACACACAGACCTGTGAGTACTGGAGTAAGAACTGAGTAACCTGAGAACCCCAACAGCAGGAAACCCTCATATTGCACAAAGAGATGGAAAAAGACTAAAAGAGGTGAGAATAAGGCACTCCACATGTGTGTAATTGCACCACATCCAGCAGGTTTACTTCCATGTTCTGCACATTCTTTCTGTAGTGGATGTCCTCAGGTGCTGAATCTTACCACAGGTTCAATGAGCAGCCAACAACAGCTCAGGGTTTTAGCCCAATTTGTTGGATGTGTGGAGTTCAGCACCTCCTCCTCAAGAGGCATATCAATAATAAGTTAAGACCAATGTTTTGAAGATTAGGGTACTGTAGAGTAGGTACTTGTGCTGAAGCTGAACAACTTTAAATTCAATGTAAAACAATGTCAAGCATAATAAACTGGAGAAGCAAAATATTCTTCTCATAAAGCTCAGTTTCTAAAAATTCCTCATGCAACATGCATCATAAGCTTTTTCTTCCACTGAAGAGCAGTATTTTTCAGTTCACCAATTTGAGTTCCATTTACCTTAACAGTCTAGGCAAGAGGTCTGATTCTCATCTTTCCTGTTTCTCAGGCTGAGTATTGCAAGGTCATAATGCAGCCAAAAATATAGCACAAAGTGCCCAAGTTAGAAGAGAGATACATATTTACATTTTCTCCCTATTAAACATAAAAAACATGGACCAGTGGAAGTTTACAACACTATGAATATTACATTGGAACTAAGGAAAAAAAACGAAGTCAGGAATTTGGGTTAATGCAAAAATACAAAGCAATTCCAGAAAACAGTCCTCAAACAAATAATTTCAGAGTGTTCACAGAATTGAAAAGAGCCTGAGTTCAAACTACCAACGCCAAGTTATGATATTTTGCTTGAAAAGCAATTGCTTTGAGGTAGTCATGGACTGGTGGTGAGTATCAGGAACAGTATTTTTACCTGTTTCCACAATTCACGATCTCAGACCTCATTCACTTGTTCTACCCTTAGGAAATAAGCAGTTAAAGGAAAATAAGTAATTGGTTTTGTTACTGATTTACTGACTTAGGTGTTGCTTCCAAAGACGACAAAAACGTCCCCAGCAGAAGATAAGCATGAGTAAAAGGAGAGAACAACAGAATAATTTGGCAAGAAACAACTCAAGAGAAATGAAGCATTTGAGAGTAGCACAGAAACCAACAAAGCATCATTTCAGATTCTTGAAGAATGGAAAACGGAAGTAGCTTTTAAAAACAAACCCTAAACAGACCAGGTAGATAAGTCATCTGAAGGGCAGCTAAAGGATAACTGCCAAAGTCAAACACAATTCAAGATCGACAGAAGAAAACAGGGAGACCTTCAGGATCTTTTTCAATGCTATTTTCAACATTGGACAACACCCTCGATAGAGATAAAGATAAAGAAAGAAACAGGATTTCAATACCAGTGTTTAAAAAGGCAATGTTAAATAAGAACTGAACAGAACTGTTAAGTGAAGGCAGAAAACAGAGACAGAAGATATAAGCAGAGGAAAGCACATACTGTGCTATAGGGCTGAAGAGAAAACCCACTGTAAACGAAGTCCTTAGAAAACCACCCTGGGAGACAAAGAATGGAACTCTGCAGGATACCAAAAATGGGATACAAAGTTATTTTAAATGCTTTACCTTATAAGACCCATTAAAGACAGTGAAGCAAAACATCCAAACAAGTACTTTGTAATTTTGTCCATGCTCTGTAACAGACGGTTGCTGTGGCAACAAATGTAACATAAAACCTTTTGGATTTTCAGAACAAAGTTCATGTTTAACTGTTAAACATGACGATTTTAAATAAATATTTACTATTCTTGAAAACATTTTTACAGAGGCATTGTATGTTCTACGTAGGTTTACTGTAAATATACAGGAATTAATTATTAGCTGAAGTTATTACCCAGTGTATCTTAAGCAGCTATCCTTGCTACTCTTTTAATTTTTTTTTTTTATTATAACATCAGGTGTCAGACTGTGTAAGAAATCTGAAACTCAAGAGCACGAAGAAGGAAGAGAAAGAAGAAAACC